CCCTCTCCTCCCTCAGACCCGGGAGTCCTGGCCCCCAGGCCCTCTCCTCCCTCAGACCAGGGAGTCCTGGCCCCCAGGCCCTCTCCTCCCTCAGACCAGGGAGTCCTGGCCCCCAGACCTTCTCCTCCCTCAGACCCAGGGGTCCGGACCCCCAGCACCCTTCCCGCTCAGTCTCGGGAGTGCGGGTTCGCTCCTCAGCTCTCCCCACGCCAGCACTTACCACGGTTGCCATGATGCTCACCAACCGCCAATATCCTAGCGGAAACGGAAACGCGCTAGGAACAAGGCGTTCTGGTCCCTCTAGACGGCCAGGTCCTCCAAAGATCTCGACGTTTCCTCATAAATATGCAAACTCTCCTTGTGGGGGCGTGGCGTCACTTTTTAGGCCCCGCTCCTCCGCCGAGACTGAACTGGTAAAGGGGTTCCCGGAAATCCTGGGTCGGTTCCCAACGCCTCCTGGCCCCTCCCTTTACCCAGGCCTCCTTGCTGAGGCGGATTGCAAAATTCTTAAGACTTCTTTGGGCAGGGCGCCTGGGTGGCTCAGTTGGTTAAGCGACTGCCTTCGGCTCAGGTCATGATCCAGGAGTCCCCGGATCGAGTCCCTGGATCGAGTCCCACATCGGGCTCCCTGCTCGGCAGGGAGACTGCTTCTCCCTGCAAGTGAGCACCCCTCCCCCCCCGCATGTGCTTTCTCTCTCAAATAAATAAATAAAATCTTAAAAAAAAAAAAAAAGACTTCTTTGGGCAACCACACGTCCCCCACGCTCCCTTTCCCCCCCATTCCACCCTCTTCTCGCTAACTCTGGGGCCTCAAGATTAGGATTGACAGAGTTGAGGGCCAATCGGCTAGCGCAGGGGAGGCCACGCCCCCTAAAGCTCTCATTGGCCGCTAAGGTGGCGGGGCGGAGTAAACCCTACCTTGTTCATCAATGAGGGGATGCGTCAGCCCCCTCCCCCGGGCACAGGCCAATGGCTCTGGTCGGGGGGCGGGCCCCACCTCCGGGCGGCCGCAAGATTTCACTGCAGGGGCCCCAGCAGGCTCAGAGACGCTGCGGCCGCCTCCTGCGTAGGGCCTGGACGGGGGTGCGGTCGTGCAATAGGAAGCCGAGGGCGTTGCAAGCTTCCCGTTGGGCACTAGCTACCTGGCCCCGCTCCTTGCCCTTTGCATTCCCCCGACACCTCTGGAGCCCCCTCCTGTGGCCCCTGAAGCCCCCTTCACGCGTCGGCCATGCCTCTAAGTCGCACTTTGTCCATGTCCTCCCTGCCGGGACTGGAGGATTGGGAGGATGAATTCGACCTGGAGAACACAGTGCTCTTCGAGGTGGCCTGGGAGGTGGCCAACAAGGGTGAGCACGCCAGGCGGTGGGTCGCGGACGAGGAGGGCAGTCGGGGATGGGAGCCGGCACTCTTGAGTAATACGGGGACAGGACGACATAGCATGACTCTTGGGTTCTGGCCAAGGAGCCTATGACTTCTGTGTCCTTGGGGAGGGGCCGAGGTATATCTCCGGAACCCTGGCGGGGTGGGGATGAGCCGCCTCACTGTTAAAAGGAAAAGAGGCTGGAAGTCCAGTTGCTGGGTCCTAGGGAAGAGGGAGCGAAAATGAAAGATTCCTAGGTCCTGGAGGGGGGTTTCTGAGAGACCAGTGAACCTGGGTCCTGAACAGGGAAGGAGGTGGGGGGTGGGGGTTGGCACTTCCTAGTGCCAACCTGGGAAGTGGCTGGGTTTCAGATCCGCGGCCCTGGGGGAAGAGTCTGGGGATATAACTCTGGATTTGGTAGAGAGCCAACTGGGAGAGAGGATGCATGAGTTGTGGGGGCAGAATTTGGGCGCTGGCCACTTGAGAGTAAAGATGGGAGGGGCTGCAGACTCTAATTCTTAGATCTTTGGGTCAGAGAGAGTTGGGGTCTGACTGCCTAGGCTCTGAAGGGAGCCGAGGGTGTGAGCTATAGGTTTCTAAGAGTAGGGGAGCCTGGGGCCTCAGACACATGCGTACTGGAATGAGGGAAGGCTGGGAAGTCCTAAGTTGGTCAGGGGCTGGGCCCAAGGATGGGAGGGGCTGGGGGCCTAGATTCCTGTGTCCCAGGCCCTGAAGGGCCTAGAGTTCTGGGTTTGGAAAACCAGCTGGGGCTGGAGGGAGCTAGGGTTTTGCTTTGCTGAGTCTTGGGAGAGAATGGGACCGGGTCTTACACCATGGCAGGCGGCCCTCAAACTGGGAGCCATGTATCACCAGGGCCCAGGCTCCAGTAGGTAAGGAGACTGAGAGCCCAGACTCCTGGGTCTGGAATGAAGTCATGGGAGGAGCAGGGCCCTGCATGTGTGTCCTCAACTGGGGAAAGGAGACTGGGGGACAGTTCAGCAGAGCCCCTGGGGGGGGCACCGAATGACAATTCAGCCTTCTCTTAGGCAACTGTGGGAATCTGAATAGGGCCATGAAGAGAGATTCTCCCCTACTGTGACCTAGAGCCTGACTAAGAATTTAAACCCAGCTCCTGTAAGCTGGGAACTCGGGAATCTGGGTCCTGCTAATCCTTGTCAGCTTTCCTCATCCTTGGGACCCCAGTCCCTAATTCCCTCAGACCCAGAGCCCAGGTCCCTAGCCCTTTCCTGTCTGACTTAGAAGTTTAGCCTGAGCCCCATTCTCCCTTAGACCCAGGAGTACTGCCCTCAAACTCCTATCCTTACTTTCCTCTGACTGCGAAGTATGGGCTTCCAGTCCCCTCCTCCCTCTAAGCCAGAAGTCCAGGGCCCCAGCACCTTCCCATGCTCCCCACCCCCACCCCAGGTCCCAGACCTGTGGACCTCGGCTGGGGCCTGCCCTCACACACTTGGGCCCACAGTGGGAGGCATCTACACGGTGCTGCAGACGAAGGCGAAGGTGACAGGGGATGAGTGGGGTGACAACTACTACCTGGTGGGACCTTACACGGAGCAGGGTGTGAGGACCCAGGTGGAACTGCTCGAGCCCCCAACCCCGGCCCTGAAGAAGACACTGGACTCCATGAACAGCAAAGGCTGCAAGGTAGGACATGGCGTGGCTGAGGGTAGGGAGGTGGGCGCCCAGAGTTAGGGTGGGAGCAGCAGACGGAGAAGGGACGGTGGGGAATGGGGAAAGAGACTCATGTACAGAAACACAGGATGACCCGGTACGTTCTCAAGCAGACACAGTGGAGGTAAGATTAACAGACACTCGGACAGATGCAGGACCCCATGAAATGGGCGGGTGAGCCCCAAGCTATAAGACATTGGTGAATGCACAGACAGACAGCAGGTACAAGATAGACCGAGAGATGGTTCCTAGAGGCCAAGATCGTCAGACCCACAGAGAGAAAAAGAGCTAGAGAGAAAGACAGCCAGCAAGATAGAACCCAGGGCAGGTGGGCTTGGGGTGAGGCAGGCGCTGCCAGAGTAGGGGTTCCAGAGCCTGAAGTTCAAAGTCACCTTCTCCACTCTCTGCCTCTGTGACCTTGGCTAATTAACCTGCTAATGGCATCTACCTTGTATGGTTTTTGGGAGGATGCAGTAGTTAATAAAGTCTTCAGCTCAGTTCCTGGCTTCAGTTAGTACTGTATATGAGCTACTGTGATCATGGCTGTCATCATCATCATCATTACTATAAACAGCCAAGCTTGCAATGAGGTGGACAGGCAGACCAAGGGAGAGAGACAGATAGAGATTGAGTGTCCCAAAAGGTGATGATAGGCCCAGGGGCTAGAGCCATAGGGAGAGAGAAGAAGAAAAACAGCCTGATGTTTCAGGGAGAAGGGCCTAGAAGGGAGAGGAAGATGGAGTACCAATGAAGAGAAGAGAGCTAGGTCCGCTCGCCTAGCGGGCAAGCGGACCCGGGGTGGGGGGAGGGGGAGAGGGGCAGAGATTCGGAGGGGCAGAGCCGGGAATTAAAGATAGGAGGAGAGATCTCGTCCCAGGGCTCCGGATGACGACTGGAAGATGAGCACAGATTGATGATTGCTGCCGGCAGGGGTGACTGTGAAGTAGCAGGCCTCAACCTCATGACAGGTTGGGGTCTGGGTGGGAGGAAGTACAGTGGTAGCTGCATTCATTCACAGCCTCTGGCTTGGGGTGGGGTCTGGAGTCCAGGTAGGCCCAGCTGTGTCCCTAAGGAACCCTAGGACAGCCCAGCCCTACCCCATGGCAGCTGCTCCCCACGTGCTGGGGGCCTAAGAATAGCCCCCCTCCCCCCCCAGCAAAAGGGCAGACCACAGCTGGGAGGGGGAGGGGCAGGGCATCAAAGTCAGGCTCCCCGGGGCTGGGAAAAGCCAGGTCCAGGAGGCATAGGACTGCTCGCTGCCTGCATAGGGCCATGGCAGCAGGCCCAGAACCCGAAGCTGTCATCTCGGGAGGAAAGCAGTCACCGACCAGAGGAACGTGGCAGATGCAGAATGAAATGTGCCAGCGAGGTTTAGAGATGGGGCAGTGGGTAGAAAAATGCAGCCCCTGTGGAAAGAAAGAGGGCAGCCGGTGTTCGAAAGGGTGGCTGCAGCGTACAAAACGGGCCTCAGGGCGGGGCAAGGAGGCAGCAGGTGACAAACTTACGGTGAAAGGGTCAGACGCCAGGCAGCGGGTGTGGAAGAAATAGGGCGGGGAGAACAGGAAAAGAAGCATCCAGTGGAAGGAATTTGCAGCAGAAGGAAAAGATCATGGGAGAAAGCAATGCGAGGGTCGGCAAGAGAGAAGTGGCAGCAAACATGGGAACAAGGCGGCAGGTTGAAGACGTCATAAGGGTGGAAAAACAAGGCAGTGGAGGCACAGAGAGGACGTGTCAAATGCGTGGTTAGAGGTAGAGAAAGGAGGCAGTGGGGAGGAGCAGGGTAGTGGTTATAGAAACTAAGCAAGGAACAGGGTAAATATAACTGATGGAAAAAGATCGTGGTGGGAATACCTAACAGCACATAGAGAAATAAGGCAGCGGGTGAGAAATTAGCAGCAGATACAGAAAGAGGGTGGAAGAACCAGGTTGGGAAGGCAGCTGCCTGTGGCCAGGAGAGCCCCAGGTGCTGAGCCCAGAGACGTGTGGCCACAGCCCTGAGCCTTCCCGCGGGGCCCTCACAGGTGTACTTCGGTCGCTGGCTGATCGAGGGGGGCCCCCTGGTGGTGCTCCTGGACGTGGGGGCCTCAGCCTGGGCCCTGGAGCGCTGGAAGGGGGAGCTCTGGGACACCTGCAACATCGGGGTGCCCTGGTACGACCGTGAGGCCAACGACGCTGTCCTTTTTGGCTTCCTCACCAC